AAGAGCAAAATAGAAATAAAACTTTACTCTGGATGGAGATGAGCCCTCAGTCACACAGGCAGTTTCCCTTTCAGGTTTATCTTAAGAAAGTGTAAGTTAATAAAATTAAATATGAGTGCCTGCACCTAGCACTTGTTCCCAGGGCTGCGTTTCTTCCTGTCCCTACTTTAATGGCAGCCTCTGTGGCTCAGATCTCCACTTCATCTGCACTGTCACAACACCTGTAAGTATCATTTCCACTTGGCTGTTTTTGTTCATTTTAAACATCCCCTAAGGCAGCCTCCAGGTTTGAGCCACCTGCTGGGATAGCTTATTTCCTGAGTTTTAGTTGCTACTGTTTTTCTTAGTGATCTAGTTACACAGTTTCAAGTGATTTGCCCTTGAGCTTATTTTTCTCATAAAACCTCTAATTTAGTGCAGAAGATCAGTTTTCAGGAATTGGTACATTGCATAATAGCAGAAATACCTGTGTCACTTGTGACACTTAAATGCAGGTAAGATTATATTGTCAATTTTTCTATTGATTACCATTTAGATTCTTTCTAATTTTTACTGTTACAAACATGTCGCATTTAACTTCTTTATACCTTTGATTGTGAAATGGAATAAATTGTGTTAAAATAGGATAACTAAAAGAAGTGGAATTGTTGGGTTTTGAGTTGAGTTCATTGAAAATGGATAGATATGAACTAATCAGTGGCTCTTAAAAGAGATGTACCAATTTATATTGTCGTGTATAAAGTTCAAAACATACTAGTTTTAGTTGCACAATTTCTTAGTAAATGGGTTTCTGAGCCATAGCTTTCAGATGACTACATTTAATATTTTAAGAATTTAATACATATTTTCTTAGCTTCTTTATGTGAGGTTTCAGGGAGACACAGGACAAAAACGCTGATTAAAATGTTAAGAATGAAATGTGGAAATGTCACAATGAAACTCCCTGTACAACTAACATATGCAATAAAAATGTTTAAAAAATGTTAAGAATGGAGAATTGGTTACAACTTGAGGCTAAACATTTGTTTTCATTTTGAGCTTTAGACCTTGCTTTTCCTAGCATTACTGTCTGCTAAAGTCAAGATTTTTCTCATTTTTCTGAACTTTTATTGAGATATGACATGCATTGTGCAGAATTATAAATGCGTTATCCAGTGAATTTTCACAAACTGAACACAACTGTGTAATCACCTTCCAGACAAAACATTAGTAGCTTTCAGAAGTCTCCTTCCTGCCTGTAAATCTCACGATGGCATCATTGTTCTGATAACACCATTTGTTTTTCTTGATTTGAACTGTATTTAAATGAGATTCACAGAATATACTCTTTTTATTGTGCTGGGTGGGGGTACATTGTGGCATTTACAGAAGCTCTTACAATATATCAAATATATCGTACTTGAATTCACCCTCCCTCTACCATTGTCCTTTATCCCCATTTTTGGAATAGTTTATCATTTTTACATTTACATACATGTGTACACAGTATTTGTACCATAGTCACCCTTCTTCATCATTTCGCCCCCTCTCCCCTTCCCATTGGTACCAGCCCTCTATAATCCAGCAGGACCTGTTCCACCTCCGATTGTATAAAAGAGAAGAAGAAGAAAAATTACATTTTTGGTTGTTTAGATAGCTACACAGGGAGTTTCCTGTGGTAATTCCATGTTTATATGTATTATAGCCTGATTTCGTTCATCTCTATTTTTCTTCTTTTACCTTAGTCCCTTTCTTTTAGTGGTTTGAACTAATGTAAGGATTCTGTATTCATTCTTGTATAGAGAGTACATCAATCATACTCACCTTCTTAACTTCCATCTTGTACCCTCCCCCTCTCATCTGTGACCTCCTGTAGCATGATCCGTTTCTCATAGTATTGCTGTATTTGTATTAGGTCTGTAGTCCACGCATGAGAGAAAACTTGCAGCTTTTGCCTTCTGCACCTGGCTAACTTCCCTTAAAATGATGTTCTTTAGTTCCATCTCTTTACCTGAAAATGACAAAATTTCATTCTTCTTTGTGACTGAATAAAATTCCATTGTATATAAATACCACATTTTCTTAATCCATTCATTGGAGCATCTTGGCTGTTTCTATAGCTTAGTTATTGTGAATAATGATGTAATAAACATGGGTGTGCAGGTGCCTTTGTTGTAACCTGACTTATATTCCTTCAGGTATATCCCTAGGAGTGGAGTTTCTGGATCATATAGTAGTTCTATTTTTAGTTTTTTGAGGAGCCTCCATACTGTTTTCCATAGTGGTTGTACTAATTTACATTCCTACCAGCAGTGTATGAGGGTTCCTTTTTCCCCACATCCTCATCAACATTTGTTGTTTATGTTCTTCATTCTAACAGGAGTGAGGTAGAATCTTAGTGTGGTTTGGATTTACATTTCCTTTATGGCCATGGATGTTGAGCATTTCTTCATATGTTTTTTAGCCATTGGACTTTTCTTCCTTTGAAAAAGCTCTGTTCATTTCTTTTGTCCATTTATTCATTGGGTCATTTATTTTTGGGAGGCTTAGTTTTTTGAGCTCTCCCTCATTTTTGGGGGGAAGGTTAGATTCATCTGTGTTTTTGCTTGAGATTTGACATCAGTTATTTTCATTCTATGTCATTCTATTACATGAACAACAATAATTAACCATCCTATTGTTGATAAAACTTAGTAGTTTCATGGTTTTTTCCTGTTAGGAATAATTGCTATCATTAATATTTTTCATATGCCTTAAAGTGAACATTTCTATTGGCTGTATACTTCTAGAATGGTCATAGGTTGGTATATGTCTACTAGCTTTAGTAGATATTGTACCCCTCCAAATAGTTACTCCAGTATGTACTGCCACAAACAGTATATGCAAGTTCAGTCACTCCAAATTCTTAGTACTTGACTACTTGTTTAATCTGTTTTGGTGAAGGTGGTTTTAATTTGCATTTTCCTGGATTTTCTACCGACTAATGAAGTTTAACACATTTTTCTTTATCTTTATTGACTGTTTGAATAACTTACTTGTCAAGTTCAAGAGTTTCAAGAGTTTACCCGTTTTTTTCTTTAGGGTGTTAGTCTTGTTCTTAGTGAATTGTAAGTGTTTACATATTAGAGGTAAATTCATTCTGTGATATGTTCTATAAATATTTTCCCTGTCTGTGAATTGCTTTTCATTATTCTAATGGCATCTTTTTTTAAAGGGAGGGGGCATACTCACGGCGTCCAGCATGCTAGTCAGGTGCTCTACCAGTTGAGACACTCCACCAGCCCTTTTTGCATTGGTTATTTTTGAGATAATATCTTGCTTTTCGCTGAGGCCAGCCTATACCCAAATCCTATTTGTGCTTCCTCAAATGACAGGTGTGTGTCATGGCGACCAGCCTTTGGTTGAAAAGGGGGTCTCATAAACTTTTTGCCCTGCCTGGCTTAGAACCACAGTCCTTTCAATCTCTGCCTCCCACTGCTCTGTGCTTCTAGTGGCACTTTTTGATGAATAAAAGGTTTTAATCTTGATTTCTTCCAGTTTATCAAGTAAATGTCAACAGTCCTTTCCTTTTGTTTAGCAATTTTGTGTTCTGTGTAATAAATCTTTGCATATTCCAAAATTAGAGATACAGTATTCTCTGTATTTGTCCTAAAATCCTTATCCTTTCTTTACTGTTTACATTTAAATTTACAGTCTATTTTGCAATTGTTTTCTTGGGTCTGTAGTTGGGGGGGGAGGTCAAGATTCATTTTTTTTCTTTTGTGAATATTCACTTATCCAGCACTGTTTATTGAAAAGACTACTATTTTTCCACTGTACCACTGTGTCAGCTTTTTCATAAATCAGGTTGTTGTACTTAGGATACATCTGGTCATTTTTTTTTGTTTTTCGGTACTAGGGTTTGAATTTAGGACCTACATCTTGAGCTACTCCACCAGCCCTTTTTTACAAAGGGTTTTTGTTTTGTTTTTTGGGTTTTTTTTGTTTTTTTTTTTGAGATAGGGTCTATCTTTTTGCCTAGGGCTGGCTTCTAACTGCTATCCTCCTGATCTCTTTCTCCTAAGTAGCTAGGATTATAGGCATGAGCCACTGGCGCCCAGCTTTGGCCACCATTCTTTCTACATGAGTCAGTTCATACAGATTGAGTGTCCCTTTATCTATTATTTGCCTAGACTTTACTAGTTGAGTATCCCTAACCTGAAACTCTGAAATCCAAAATATTCCAAATTGCAAAGCTTTTTGAATGCTGATATAATGCTTCAATTTTGCAGACTTAGGAACATTTTGGAGTTAGGTTTTTCAAATTAGTGTTGCTCAACCTATGCCAGTACTTTTAATTAGTAAAGCTTTATAGTAGTTCTTAATATTTGGTAATAAAATTTCTTCAGATCTGAACCTCAAAATGGCTTGAGATATCTTTGGTATTTATAAATTTTATAATTTAAATTTGTTAAATTTGGAATTTTACATTAACTGTAATCAAATCAAGAATTGATATCTTGACAACACTGTTTTCTCTAATTCATAAACATTTCCCTCCATTTTTTTCCCATTAGTTTCCATCCATGAGAAAAAAGCTGGAACACTGAACAGTATTAGAACTGAGACTTATCTATACTCATTAAGAAAATCTGGTATTAATACAAGCATATATAAATATCTGATGTGAAAAGACTAGAGAGTCTAATGCTAACAGTGCCAGTTTATTATTATTTTATCTGTTTATTTATTTGGTGGGATGGGTTTTGAACTCGGGGATTTGTACTTGCACAGCAGGTGCTCTACTGCTTGAGCCACCCCTCCAGTCCATTTTTTGCTCTGGTTATTTTGGAGATGGGGTCTCGTGAACTATTTGCTGGCCTTGAACGATTATCCTCCTGATCTCAGCCTCCCAAGTAGCTAGAATTATAGGTGTAACCCAGTGCTCAGCTACTTTGTTTTAATTGACAACTGCTTTAAAGTGTAAATTAGTATAGTCTTTGATGTTATTTTATTAAATGTCTCTTCTCCTCTTGTCACAGGTGTGGACCATGTCTAAGGATTGCCCCAGCATTCAGTTCTATGAGTAATAAATATCCACAGGCTGTTTTCTTGGAAGTAGACGTACATCAGTGTCAGGTAAGGAAGAAGAATCCTTTTTTTCTTTTACTTTTGAAACAATCTGAAATCCAACATTAATGTCACCTATTATTTATCTCTTTATATACATAGTACTTATTCCTTGGAGGTAGGAGAATGCTATGATTACTACGAATGTCATTTGGGCTATATTAGTTAAGAAAGGTAGCATGTTACTATTTCAGATTTATATAAATGCTTTTCTGCTGTAAAATTAATACAGTATTGTTAAAGCAAAGGTCATCTGGCAATTCTCTGTTTTATATTTCTTTGTTTATCGTTTGCACATTTACAGTTTGCCTTGTTGACTTAGTGGAATAGCTGTATTGGCATTATATAGAAATAAAGATGATTCCTTCATACACTAAATATAATATTTTAGCTCTGAATAAGAAAGTGCTATAACTTTTTTTTTTAATTGTGCCTGAGGCTTAATATTTGCTTGTTATAACTTTGGTTTTTGCCGCATTTGTAAATGGGGAAAAATTTTAGAATAAATACTGTTTTGTAGATAGTAGTTTGGGATTTGGTGTAAGCCCTACATTATCCAATTATGTCTCATTTACTTATGCAACAGGTTTATAGGCTGCATTATTGCCCTTATTTTGAGTACACAGTTCAGTGTTTCTAGTCTGAAAGTGCTTTCCTCTGTAGTTGTGCTGTATGTGGTAGCCACTAGCTACATGTTGTTTTTGAGCATTTGAAATATAGCAAGTCCAAATTGAGATGCTTGAAAAAGGGTAAGATACACAGTAGATTTTGGAGATTTATGAAATAATATATTTCATGATCTTTTTGATTATGCCAAAAATGCTTGGACATGGATTCACTAAATATATTACTTGTATTGATTTTTACCTGGTTTTACTTTTTTATTGTGGATATTAGCAATTTTCAGTTTGTATGCATAACTTGTAAATTGTGTCATGCATTATATTTATTTTGGATAACATTGTTTTAATAGATCAGTCATGGTTTCTTTTTCGCTTCTGAGGCTTAGGGAAAACATTCATAGATTATCTGCGCTTTTTTTTTGTTTTTCTTCAAATGATATAGCAGTACCTCTTCATAGTCTTTGAATATGTAAGGTGACAGATTTGCATTACTGAGTTTTTGTTTTTGGTGGAACTAAGGTTTAACTCAGCTTCATGTTTGCAAAGCAGGCATTCTACTGTTTGAGCTGCATATTCTGGGTTTTTCTTTTTTTAAAACTTGTTATGAAAAGTTTGGATTATAATACATAATGGCTGTTATTAATTAAGTTCCACTCAGTATAAAATTGGTGGAGCTAGGGCACAGTTTAGAAAGATAGTTGTTGCACAGTGTATTTGATGAGAGATTAGATGTCATTTCTGTGAAATGAGGGGGGGAGAAAGTGGGGGAAGGAGGCAGGGGGGAGAAATAACCAAAACAGTGTATGCACATGTGAATAAATGAATAATAAAAAATTTTTAAAAAGTAATTTCCATAAAAGTAGAAATTGGGTAAGGGTTGAGTGCACAAAATATTGCTTCTTTTTTATGGGTAGGTTAGTTTGCTTTTCACATGTGTGCTTTTTCCTAGCAACAATGGTTTAATGTTAACTTATCAATACTCTTTTTGATTGCTCCTTTTGAGAAATACATACTATGTAATTATGAGAAGCCTGATCTATTGGATAAAGTGTTTAATAAAGAATGGGGCTGTTCTTTATTGTGGGTAAGTGTAAGGATAATGTAGCTATGCCCTAATGAGAGCTCTTCTAGGAATAAGTCTGCTTTTTCTGAAATAAGTTAGGAAAACATTATTCTGCATGTTTTTAGTTTATGCTTATGATCTAAAACTTCCATAAAGACATAGAGTGAATGTTCAAAGCGGTTTAAGATTTAATTCATAAACACTGTTTAATTTGCCAATTCTAGGGAACAGCTGCCACCAACAATATATCGGCAACACCTACATTTTTGTTTTTTCGAAACAAAGTGAGAATTGATCAATATCAAGGAGCAGATGCTGTGGGATTAGAAGAAAAAATCAAGCAGCACTTAGAAAATGACCCTGGAAGCAATGAGGACACGGATATTCCAAAAGGCTATGTATGTAGACAGAAAAGTGAAGTCATGATTCAGTAGCTTACATTTGTTATTGCATCATTGAGATGAAATTAACTATGATGTGTTTTATCTTTTACTAATTTGGAATACTTACAAATAAGAACTTTCAAACTGAAGTTGACTTTTGAGTTTCATCTGTATCTATTAACCTTAAGCTTACATCATAAACCACTTCTTCCTAAATTTCTTTCTTAAAAAATTTTTATTTGTAATACAAATTTATTAGTTTTTAATATGTGTACAGTGAGTTTCACTGACATTTATGTATATACATATAGTACTAAGTTTCTCCTGCTAAATTTCTTTGCCACTTATTTTTTTTTAATTTTAATATATATATATATATATTTTTTTTTTTTTTTTTTTTTTCGCGGAACTGGGGTTTTGTCACTTGTTTTTTAATCTACTTTCTTGAACTGTTAAAATAGCCATATTCTAAAACTTATTTACAATTCCCCAAATAGTGAAGAAATATGCATTGAAAAATGCTCTACTTTTTGATGATTATGTAAAATGACTTGTGAACTTTATTTATATATTTTTAAATTTTTAAAAAAATTTTTATTGTTTTATTATTCATATGTGCATACAATGCTTGGGTCATTTCTCCCCCCTGCCCCCACCCCCACCCTTACAACCCACTCCACCCCCTCTCTCTCCCCCCAACCCCCTTGATACCTGGCAGAAACTATTTTGCCCTTATCTCTAATTTTGTTGAAGAGAGAGTATAAGCAATAATAGGAAGGAACAAGGATTTTTGCTAGTTGAGATAAGGATAGCTATACAGGAAGTTGACTCGCATTAATTTCCTGTGCGTGTGCGTTACCTCTAGGTTAATTCTTTTTGATCTAACCTTTTCTCTAGTTCCTGGTCCCCTTCTCCTATTGACCTCAGTTGCTTTTAAGGTATCTGCTTTAGTTTCTCTGTGTTGAGGGCAACAAATGCTAGCTAATTTTTTAGGTGTCTTACCTATCCTCACACCTCCCATGTACGTTCTCGCTTTTATCATGTGCTCAAAGTCCAGTCCCCTTGTTGTGTTTGCCCTTGATCTAATGTCCGCATATGAGGGAGAACATACGATTTTTGGTCTTTTGGGCCAGGCTAACCTCACTCAGAATGATGTTCTCCAGTGAACTTTATTTTACTTATTTTTTTAGTAGTGCTTTCCTTGAACTTGATGGGAAGGCCATTTACCACTTTAGCCTCTCCTCTAGCCATTTTTTGCTTTAGCTATTTTTTATATAGAGTTTTGCTGTGGGCCAGCCTTGAACTAGGGTCCTGTTCCCTTTGCTTATGGTATAGCGAGGATTACAGATATGCATCTATGCCGGGCTTACTTATTCAGATAGGTGTTTTGCTAACTTTTAATTCAGAATCATTTTTTGAACTGTAATCTTCTTGATCTTTGCCTGCAGGTAGCTAGGATTTACAGGTGTGCACCACATGCCAGACATGACTTGGGAATTTTAACGTGTGATCGTTACATGCCGCACTCCTTTTGTTTTCACTTTGTGTAGCTTTCTCTATTTTTTTAAATTTATCTCTCTTTTCTAGCATTATTTATATGTTTTCATCTAGTATTTTGTTTTGGAGTCAAATTTTAATATCATGTGTTTTTTTAGAGTTTAAAGTTTAAGCAACTTAAAGGCTGAAGAACTTAAAGAATAAAATAATGTTTAGAAGTTACACAATATGAATAGTTATAATGTAGCATCTCTACAGACTTTGAGAGTTAGAGAGTTAGGATGAAACAAAACTCAGAAGTAGTATCGTGGTGGCACATTTGTCTATGCAAACTGGCAAATTCTGCATAGTAAAAATATTTAATTTTTCTGGTTATAAAAGTTACTATATTGGCAGATCAAAGAATGAATTTTAAAAAAAGTGTTAGCTCAGCTAACATTAAAGAATGTATATCAGATAAATTAAAGCATAACTATGTCATGGAGCTAACCAAGTCCTTTCTGTAAGTCCTTTAAATTTATACTGAGTAAGGAGAAACTATAATCAGGTAAACATGAAAGATTCTTTATGTATGTGGGGGAGGTGGGGTCTCGAAGTATTTGTAATGTAATAATGACATTATTTTAAGCTAGGGACATAAATTTAGTATTTACTTAAAATGAGCTGTAATTTGAAGTTATAACATTCAACTAGGAGGTACTGAATATGTTGTTTACGTTGGAGTTGTTAATTATTGAACCAGGCCCGTTTTGCCTATTGCACACCATACTTATAATCTCTGAAATGATAACTTTTGCAAAAGGAAAACAGTTTTATTTGAAAGGCAACTAAGCATGGAGACAGGAGAGCTATTCTCAAATCTGCTTCCTAAGGATTAGGGTTTAGGTATTCCAATGAAGAAGCAGGTCTCTGTGAATAGCCAAGGCAATACTGAACAAAAAGAGCAATGCTGGAGGTTATCACGATACCCAACTTCAAACTATACTACAGAGCTGTAGCAATAAAAACAGCATGGTACTGGCAGAAAAAACAGACATGAAGACCAGTGGAAAAAAATAGAGGACCTGTATATGAATCCACACAATGCCTACCTTATTTTTGACAAAGGGACAAAAAAACACATGATGGAGAAAAGGCAACCTCTTCAACAAAAGTTGCTGGGAAAAGTGGTTATCTGCCTGCAGAACACTGACACTAGATCCATTGCTATCACCCTATACTAGTATCAACTCAAAGTGGATTAAGGACCTTAATATCAAATGCAAAACCTTGCAGTTAGTACAGGAAAGAACAGGGAATACTCTGGAAACAGTAGGTATAGGCAAGGACTTCCTCAGTAGAACTCCAGCAGCCTAGCAACTAAGAGAAAGGATGGACAAATGGGACTACATGAAATTAAAAAGCTTCTGCACAACAAAAGAAATGGTCTCTAAACTAAAGAGACCACCCAAAAAGTGGGAGAAAATATTTGCTAGCTATATATCAGACAAGGGACTGATAACTAGCATATGCAGGGAACCCAAAAAACTAAACTCCCCAGCAATCAGTGAACCAATAAAGAAGTGGGCAACTGAACTAAACAGAACTTTTTCAAAGGAAGAAGTCCAAATGGCCAAAAAACCACATCCCTGGCCATAAAGGAAATGCAAATCCAAACCACACTAAGATTCTACCTCCCTCCTGTTAGAATAGCTTATATAAGTACACCACCACCAACAAATGTTGGTGAGAATGTAGGGAAAAAGGAACCTTCATATACTGCTGGTGGAATGTAAGCTAGTACAACCGTTATGGAAAACAATATGGAGGCATCTTAAAAAACTAAACATAGATCTGCCATATGAATCATCAATACCACTTCTAGGGATATACCCGAGGGAATGTGACTCAGATTATTACAAAGGCATCTGACACCCATGTTTATTGCAGCACTAAAAGCCAGGCTATGGAAACAGCCAAGATACCCCACAGCTGATGAATGGATCAAGAAAATTTGGTATTTGTATACAAAGGAATTTTATTCAGCCACAAAAAGTGAAATTTTTCCATTTGCAGGTAAATGGATGGAACTGGAAGACATCATCTTAAGCAAAGTTAGCCAGGCTCAGAAGGCCAAAAATCACATGTACTCCCTCATGTGGATTATAGGCCTAAAACAAATGCAGTAATATTATTGGACATGGGTCACACACTAAGGGGAGAACGCGGATGGGAGGATAGGGAACGGGGAGGAAACCTAAAACTTGAATGTGGTTGATGTACTCACTCTGGAGGAGTGAATAAAGTAATCTTAAACGGTCAGAGGTCACTATGGGAAGGGGACTAGTGAAGAGGTCTGGCAGAGATGAACCAATGTGGGTTGCAATCTCAAGTACATGGAAACAGTGCTAGGAATCTCTCTGTATAGCTATCTTTATCTCAAACTAGCAAAAACGGTACATCTTTCTTGTTATCTCTTACGTGTTTTCTTCAACAAAGTTGGAGAACAAGAGGGTGAACAGGTTCTGCCCAAGGTGGGGGGTGTGGGAGCGTAGGCAAGGTGGCCCAAATAGTGTATACACATGTGAGTAAATGTAAAAATGATTAAGAAGAAGAAGAAGAAGCAGGTCTCCACCATAGGGAACTATGATTAGTGGAGGAATAGTGAAGTAACTGGTGGTCTGCTCACACATAGTCAACCTTGGTGGCTTTTTATAGGGCACCTGTTCGTAAAATGGAGGAGGGAGCATGATCCATCAGAAGTTTTCCTGGTCCCAGGTGAAGGTTCAGTGGTTCCAACTAGTTTGACAAAAGTTGCTTCCAAGTTCCTGAAAAATGGCTTGGGCAACTGTTACTCTCATGACCTACATGTCAGTAGTTTTCTATAGCCAAGCTAATGGGAGTCTAATAATACGTTGTCATTTCACGGTCAGCACCCTCGCTTTTGGTTTTAGTCTTGATCCCGAAACTGAGGTTCTGCTGTTCTGAGACTTTATTCCATGAAGGTAGGATTCATTCTTAGGTTAGATTTTAAAGTTTTTCACAGGAACCCATGTTCTGTAAAACTCCTTACACACAGGTAGAAATGAGGAAATTATTAGGAAAATGTTTGACAGTGTTGCATATTAATGCAGCAGTTTAAATGTAATTGGTTTTTTGTGTGCGCCCCACAATAACTCAAAATCAAAGTCATTGCAAAGAATCCATCAATTTGGTTTAATTTTCATTCTTAAGGTATTAGAAGTGTGAGTGCAGTGTTGCTCCACAACTGAGATCTTAATCCTAGTTGCAGCATTGAAGTTGCTCATAGATACTTAAGGAAGAAATAAGCATTTAAAAGGTTTTGCCAAAACTTTTTATTTAAACACAAATACTAATGAAGTTTAGAACAATTCTACTATAGCAGAATTTTGCTCCATAGCCTTCCTTTTCTCCCCTCATCATCTTTTTCAGTTGGCTGTAGTGTGTCATTCTGAGTACAGCATTTAATTTAGCATTTTGGTTTTGAAAGAATTTAGGCTATTCCATGAATAGTTGGGTATCTGTACTAATGGATTATTACTATTTTGATACTTATTTGATGTGTAAAGTTTTCAGTCTTTCAGAACTACATACACATACAGTAATATATGGATTAAAAAATTAGTAGATCTTTCATGATAGAAAGGTAAACTAGCAACTGATAATCTATAATACTTGGTAAACTTTAAAAAGTCTTTGTTTAATAAATAAAATGGATACTTTTCTAGAAAGATACAGCTTACCAAAATCAGTAAAAGCAGGACATCTAAGTAGACCAGTCACTTTAGAGAGAAAGAGAAGGAAATAGTAAAACAGCTCTTCCATACAGGCCCATATTACTTCAAAAGTAAATGTTGCTAAAGCTTTAAAAATCAGGCAACATAGTATTTCCATAACTACTTAACCACAAATAGAACTTGTAAATTTCTTTTTGAAGTATGTATGACATCCTAGAATCTAGCAAATATGTGCTATAAAAGCCACAGCAGTTTTAATTATGAATATTGTTTTTAAAATCTTAAATATTAGTAAACAAAATCTAACAGTCTAGTAGTAGAATAAAAAATACCATTGTAAGCAAAATTTGGTTTATTTCAAACATGCAACTAATGTTTATATAATCTGTCATGTTAATAGAGTGAAGGGAAAAAAATCATACTCTCCAAATATGCAAAAAAGGCACTCAAAATTCAGTAACCTGCTTATTCTTAAAGTATTGAATAAAATCTTAATGGAGAAAAGCTAGAGGCATTCCCACTAGAGTGAGGAAAAAAAGATAAGCGTGGTCACTGCTACCACAATTCTTTGATATTGTGTTGAAAGTTTGGAAATATTTGTCAATCCAGTATGCAGGAAGCAAGAATATGCTAATTGACACCACAAGGAAGCAACCAGCAAAATCCATAGTAGTAAGCAATCTATAGGCTAAATGACTGTAGGTTAAAAGATTTAAGAGACATTAACCAAAAACCATGCTTATACTTTTTTTGGGGATCTGTATTGTCAGTTGACTAATTCTATTGTAAAACATTTATGAGGCAGTTGAGAAAATCTGAGCACTGATGTTTGATACTAAGTTATTAGTTTAGTTATAATGCTAGTAAGGATGTGAATGGTTTGTTTTTTTAAAAAAAGTACTTGCCTCTTAGAAATACACATTGAAATGTTCATGAATGAAATTATAAGATGTTTTAAGATTTGCTTCAAAATAAATGAGAGTGGGTGTAAGATGTAAGGGTGGGATAGATGTCAAACAAGAGTGGTCATAAGCTGGAGGTGGTGGATACATGGAGTTTGTTGTATTATTCTACTTGTGTATATTTAAATTTTCCCATAATAAAAAGACTTAAGTCCTTATTTGCTACTCTCATCTTAAATTTAACCTCATTGTGGTATAGGTTTAAAGAGTTCAGGGCCACTGGAATAAGGAGATAAGCTTTCTTTGGTTCTTACAGACATTTTAATTTGCATTATTTCCCTATAAAACAGTTACTAAATAAGGTTGTTAACATTTTCTAATCTTAGTGCTAAAAACTTAAGTTTGTAATAGGCTAAATCTAGATTTAAATTTAATAGTGGTAGATCTCAATGAGAAACTCAAATGAAAGGACTGTTACGAAAGTTTTAGTAACTATTTTAAAAATTGCCTTAAAAAGAGAATCAGATGTTTAAATTTTTTAACTTTTTAATACAAACCCAATTGTTTTTACTTGAGGTCTTCATTTAATTTTTTTCAGATGGATTTAATGCCTTTTATTAACAAAGCTGGTTGTGAATGCCTTAATGAAAGTGATGAGCATGGGTTTGACAACTGTTTACGAAAAGACATGACCTTCTTGGAATCTGACTGTGATGAACAGGTAACTGAATGCCTAAGTAAAGGTTGTTAGGAATTTCATTATTTATGCCTCTCTTGTTTCTTTGTCATGTTCCCATCTCATGGATTATGTCTCCCAGATGATCAGTTCTTCCTATCTCTTTTTTTTTTTATAGCCTTTAATATCTTTGACTCCTGTTCTTTGACTATCCAGACCCACCTCATTTGTTTGTTCTATGTTTACTGCCAAGTGGAGTAAGAAAAACTGCAGAACTCTTGGATTGGTCCCACAGTTGAGTTGGGCTATCCTCATCGTTTGGTCCTTTTGTTCATTCCTGATCTGTTCTGTATGTTTTTCATGTTCAGATGAGTTTGTGTCTGAGGAACAGAGACTAATTAGATGACTACTACTTTATGTGGCTAACTTTTCGCTCCTAGTTAAAAACTTGTATCATTTTTCCTATACTTCCCCACACTGCCTTTGTCAAAGACGGTTTAACTGCCTGGATTAAGCCACCTTTATCTTCATGTGGTTGTTATTTCCCTGAATTTGCTTTCTACTCCATTGTCTCTGGTTTTTCCCCATTTTACTTTATCTTCTACATGGTCACAAAAATTATTATTCTAAAGTATAAATCTTCATGTTTCTCTTTCTTAAGAGAGTTAAATGATTCCTCACTGACTTAAAGATGTCTTACTGACTTGATCTGTTTGGGGCTTTCTAGTCTCATCCCCTGCTCTTCACCTCTAGTGCAGTTCCCTATACTTGTCATGGCTACTATTTTCTCACACTGTTATGGATCAAGTATAAAAAACTAGTGGTGTGACTAAAGGAACTACCCTAGTTATATTCTTAGAACACCATGATTCTGAAATCATAAGCCTAAACCTTACCTTTCCTCTAACTAGAGCTTTGAGAGTATCATTCACATTGTGTTCCTTATTAATTGTGATGATGTATATCATCAACAGGACTGTCTATAGCCCCCTTGAAATCCTCCTGCTAGGGAAAAATCTTTCTTCCAAGGTAGAAGCATCAGTGCTTAACAACAAACACTGGAAAGAAAGTTGAATAAATGACTCAGTGCTCCTATGAGAGATAGGCATTCAAGTCAGTGTTTTGTGTACCAGTTCCCTCACAGTTAAGGAAGTTTAGGATGGAGGTTTGGAGTTACTGGATTTTTTCTTTTTTTCTTTTTTCTTTTTTTTGGATGCTGGGCCTCATACAACTAAGCATGTCCAGCTACATCCCCAGTCCCAAGAGTCTTAACTCTTTGGAGTTCTGAACCACAGTTCATGTGAGGGCTAATCTCTGCAGAATTTGCACTTTGCCTCCAAATTATTAAATGATGTGCATAAATACTTTACAAAACTCCTCAAAAAGCATATATGCTAAAATTTACAGAATAAATTTTAATTTGGGAATTTTGTTTTATTTGTTAGAAAAGAGGTTGTTTGCAAGTTTATAGGTCATAAGATCTTAGGCTTTATGTATCATTTTTAGCAGATTTACCCCATTTAAGTTTTTTTGCCATTCTTATACATGAATAATTGATGGTGGTATTTCTCAAATGTCAGTGTAATCACATTACTTTCAACTTGCTGATTTTCCATATTGCATTTGTTCTAAATGAACTAGGTTTTTTCTGTCTGTTATTTTAATTTTACTTAGGCATTTTGTTTATTCAGTTCCCTTTTATAATGAAACTATTTTCCCCACAGCTCCTTATTACTGTGGCATTCAATCAACCAGTTAAGCTTTATTCCATGAAATTTCAAGGGCCAGATAATGGTGAGTAAAGAACAGCATTTCACTTAACTAACTTCCTGCATTGTTAGACATATTACCATGCATTTAAAACATTTCTAAATAAGAGTTTAGGAATTGTTTATTTAAGAATATGAATGAATGGGCAAACATTGTAAAATTATTAGGGAAAGAAAGAAATGGAACTTTAAATTTTTTTTATTCCCAAAGGTCTTAAAAAATTGTTTCACCTTAATCTATAAACTACTAAATCCTTTCTTCTAGCTCTAGAAGATTCTTGGTGGCCACTTTTTAGAATAAAAACTGGGAGAGATTTTTTTTCAAGCCCCTCCTATTCTAAATGGTAAAACTGAGGCTCTTGCTCTGTTACTGTGTCTTTATATCATGCATATCAACATGATTGTACAGACTTGGGTTTTCTGTTTTGTAAAATCAAGCGTTTTTCTTAATCTCTCATTTTTTGGTTACTTTTTTTTGTTTTTCAGAGGGTAATGGAGTGGTGCTAAGAGTTTTTTTGGTTTTGTTTCTTGATTGTTGGGACAAACAGCCAAGGCCCTGTTTATCAGATAGCATTTCCCTATCATTATTTCTAAATTTTCATGTTACAACTTCATGAATAAAATTACAACTTTATTATAAAAATACAAAGTATTTGTGTAAGTAAGTGCTGTAGAAATGAAGTTTTCTTCCTCTCTTTCTCTCTCTCTGCAATACTGAGTTACTGAAGAATTGAACTCAGGGCTTTGCACTTCCTAGTCAAGTGCTATACTGCTTGAGCTGCCTATGCCCGCAGTCCTTTTGATTTTAGTTCGTTTTTCAGATAGGGTCTCCTGCTAACTTTACTTGGGTAGACCTTGCTATGATTCTTGTACCCTCTGCCTCCCAAGCAACTGGGATTACAGGTATGTAACATCATGGCTGACCCTAGAAATGAGTCTTAATACTTCTTAGTCAGCTACAGAATACATGTCTAATGTTGTGTCTTGAAATTAAAGGAGTATTCTATACATGTGGTTTTTTCCTATGGGCCTATTCCTTACCTTATATCTAACATAAGATTTGAGTTTTATGATTGATTCCCTTTTGTCTAAATGTCACTGGTAATTCTTTTCTCCTAAGTAACAAAATTATCAGTTGTCAACTACAGGATCTACCTCAAATGTTATTTCTTTTATGAAAATTTGTTAATTTACATATAATATCAGAATCCATTGCCACTTTCCTTATATCTTATCACTAGTGGTGTGATGTATGTGTACACTCATGTGCATATGTATGTGTGTGTGTTTTAATCATTTCTAATATTTAGTGCTAGGTAAGCCAAGAAGGTACCAGTAAATGTGTATTGGAAAAAAAGATAAAAAATTGGCTGTCAGTACCCAGGCTTTTGTAAGTCCTAATGGTGGGTGTTGGCTCAAGCACTAGAGCTCTTTTTTGTCTAGCAAGTGTGAGACCATCAGTTCAATTCTTTAATACCTCAGTATTGTAAAGAGAGACACGTTCATTTCTGCAGCATGTACTTATACAAATACTTTGTATTTTCATAATTAAATTAGAATTTTATTAATGAAAAACTGTAACATGAGAATGTAGAGTAGTAACCGGGAAGTGCTCTATGTATACATATGTAATAGGTATATGAATACACATGAATGTGTGTATGTCTGTGTCTAGTATGAATGTAATGATAAAGGGAAGAAAGTATAGTATGTTTGTAGTTTTTAGCATTTCATTTTATTTTATCATTTTATAGGTCAGGGTCCTAAATATGTAAAAATTTTTATCAACTTACCCCGATCCATGGATTTTGAAGAGGCAGAGAGAAGTGAACCAACTCAAGCTTTGGAGCTGACAGAGGATGATATTAAAGAAGATGGCATTGTTCCTCTTCGTTACGTTAAGTTTCAGAATGTTAACAGTGTAACTGTAAGTAGTGTTTCATAGAATATATTTAACAGGCTTCTGGGTAATAATGCTGTCTTTCGTATCCTAGGTGATTCTAAATGATCCTTTAAAATAGTGTTTGTCCAACAACTTGGAATGAGTAAAAATGTAAAATGGGCTAATTAAGTTTTCTTTTTAATTTAACCTTGTATCATAAAAATGCTATCAGTAAAAATAACTTTAAAAAGATAATTTTACATTTGATAAAATGACCTTAGGTATATTTGAATATTGAATAGTGCCTGAGCTGATTTTGAATCATATATTCTAAATGATATTATAAAAAATGCCACTTATAAAAGCCAGCTGCTTTTTAGCAGTTACTGTTTTTGAGAATTTTAGAATTGAAACTCAGCATATCCCTCTCCATCCTTTTCTTGGCCCTCAGTGGGAGAAGATAGCAGGATTAGAAAAGAATGAAAAAAAAGAAAGAACAAAACTATTGATAATAAATCATAACAGATGATAAAATGTCTTTGTTTAAATGGAATAATTCTACTTTTGTAAATTAGAAGAATGTTATAGTATGAGTTCTTTTTAGGAGGTTTGCTTTCGAGCTGCACAGTATACATTATTGTAATATGAAGAAGTAAAATCAAGTTGAGCTTTAAGTATCTAAAATACTCTAACCAAAAGCAATGGAAGAAATGGTTATATTAACCTGAGAACACAGATTATCAAATATTTTATGTAATATATATCCCTAATTAAGACATCTTTTGTTTTACTTAGTATTGGGGTGAGGATTGTTTATTAGAAAAAGCTCTATGACTCAGAGATTCTGAAGTAATCTCCTCTGTCATTGGAAACCACCAAAGACAGTCTTGTAATAGTCTAAAGACTTTATGTACTATGTTCTATCTTAATTAAAATTTTAGACTGACTTTTTGTGATGATAAAATTGAAATGAAAGTAGTAGCTTTGATTAGAGTCTAATCAATGAAAATAGATGCATTTTTTAAAGAAATAAATATAAATAGTTGTGCTTGGATTCAAAGAGCAAATGCATTGTAAATAAATAAGGTGAGAACTAGTCTACTTGTTACAGACTTTAAATTGACGATAAACTTAGTTTGAAAATGAGTCTATGGTTGCCTGTGAAAACAAGAATAAAAATTGACCAATGAGTACTATCTTGGAATGAAAGAAGTATGTCATCCAAATCAAGAGAGGTGATATTTTTAAACAGACAGCATTTAGAGTATTATGTCTTAAAAAATGGAACAAATAAAAAAAAAATCCAGTATATTGAAAAAGGATCTGTAAGTAAAGCTGCTTTATCTCTTGAAATACTGAGGGAAAATTTTTAAGTAGAAAGTATAAAGAATCAAAACTGCTTTAAAAAATAGAAAGTGCATAGTATAGTTTTAGGAGCTGATTTCCAATACTATGTTTTCTTTTAATATTCTAGGAAATAGAATGGATGCATGACTATCAGAAACAATATAACTGCAGAGATTTTCCTCAGTGAAAAACTATGATTTTAATAAAATTATCAACAACATTCTGTCCCATTGTAATCATGAGTCTCATACTCTTTCAGCATATCTGTAAAGAATTTAATTCTGACTCCTCCATACCATCACATTAAATTACAATGAACTTGTGTATGTGGGTGTCTTGCTATGACGTCCCTGGAGAAGGTGAGAATAGCAGGGCAAACAATGGAATTGGTAGTCCTTTAGGAGCACTAGTCTAAATGTTACATAATTTAGAGTAAGCATTACAAAGATAATTACTTAGATAATTTATTAATTATCTAAGGATATCAGTTAAACCTAAAGTATGTTCATGTAAAAAGAATTGCAATTATAAATGTCACCATTCTTTTCTTTTGGTAGATATTTGTTCAGTCTAATCAAGGTGAAGAAGAAACAACAAGAATTTCATATTTTACTTTTATTGGTACTCCAGTCCAGGCCACAAACATGAATGACTTCAAACGAGTAAGTTTATTCAAATGATAACTAGGGGAAATAAAAATACAGTTTTAAAGGAATAATTTCATGTATTTCAATAATCATACTTTTTTAACCATAAAGACCTAAAATCTTCTGTCATGAAATTTTATAAAGTTAAACTAGATTGGTAATTTCTCCAACTAAAAGGAGTCTTTAATGAATACTATAAGTCTTAATGGTAAACTGATACAATATATATTAGTGAATGACAGCTATATAAGAGTAAAAAGTCCGGTTATAGGTGTCCATTATTATGAGCAAATAGAGTAAGTCCAATCATTATTTGAAAGAAATAACGAGATTTTAACAACTTTGCTTGTGTTAAGATTTACATTGTTATTTCTAATGAAAACATTTGAAATGTCTTGAACAATTTCATAATAAAATAATGAACTGAATTTTAATATACCAACATCTAGCATGAGTACTGAAAGAGGATACTTTAGCCAATAAATAAAAGTGAATATGCATGCAGGTTTTCTCATATTTTTATAAATGTGTGTATTTTTTTTGAAGGCTACAGTCTGAAAGATGGTGAAAAATTTAAGGGGTAGATAGGACTTTAAGGAATGAGGACCAGCCCTTTTCATACATTTCTAGAAAAACGTCTAGATGATAGCAGTTCTATAGGTTGCTCTTAAATATACAGTATACAAACCCAGATAATAGACGTGCCATTGAGAGCTTTCTCCTTACCAAACCCAGGGGCTAAATACTGTTTAAATGTATGGCAGCACAGGAGATGGAGTTATCACAATTTTTCTGATGGCTGCATGTGGCAAGCATTCTTGGAATTGAAATAATTGTAAAGAGAGTAAGAGTTTCCCTAGTGCTGCCATTTCCTGAAGGAAGAGGTTCCCAGTAGACCCTTGTTTGGGAAAGTAAAACATCCTGAGAACTCTTATACTTTTTGGTGGCATCTGCAGATCTGATTTTAATTCAGTTGTAGAAAAATTAATTAAATTGTGTAATATTATTCTTATAAAATTGTATGCTGTTTTTGCAGAATTGAAAATCTTGACAATAGGTATTTTAACTGGCCATTTTTCAACGATTTCTTCCAGTCTCATAGTATAATTAACTTTTGTGAGGAGTAAGAATAATTACGTACCTAGATTTATCATATCTACATGTTTAATGTGCATGTAATGCCAGGTCAGAAGAAGCAGAGATTAAACATCTACATTTTTGTGATATGAGATATGCTTTCCTGGGAAATGTGAGCAACAAAGACATTTTTGGCTGCCTGCTGTGCTTCTTTGCCCATTTGAATTCAGTGTCATTGGCCTTGGCTTTAACTGTGCCTTGCAGGTTTAGTATTAGTTTAGTGCTTTTGTAAGATGTATTACTATAAGTTTTACTGTTTCTTCCTGTCATTAGTTTAGTGCTAGCTTCTATTTCTTTACTCAGCTTATGCTACTTGACTTCAACTTTTTCTTTAAATAACCATCATTCTGTCTTGCCCATCTTCTTGCCAGCTTGCCATTCAATCATAGTTTTTTTAAACTTGCATTAATAATTGTCTAAGTGTTTTTCTCCACTTCATTGTTTTAACATCTCTCTCACATCCCTTTTAGTGAAGTCTTTTCTCCTTTTTGCTTGCCAGAGCTTCCTTTTCTGGAGTCTGTCTTTAGATAGCATAGATTAGACTTTTCTTGCTTGAGAGTATTTGTTAAAGCAGTCATTTGCCCATTTAACTTTTGTCACCTATTTAAATTGCTGTAGAGAAGCAGTTTTCCAACTTTTTGGTCTTCGTTACTTTTTAAACTGAAAAATGATTCAAGGACCAAGAACTTTTGTTTATATATTTATGTATTAGAATTTTAAACTCAGAAATTAAGAAAAATTATAACATAAATGCATTACATATTAACAGTAATATTTTAATTAAAAATGAACACATTTTCCAGAAGAGAAATGAATTTAGTAAGAAGAGGAGAATTATTTTGTAATTTTTACAAATTTACTTGTAGCCTAATAGAGTTTTCTTGTTTTCATATCTGCTTCTGTATTCAATCTGCTATGACAAAACTTGTCGTGCAGCTTATGGAAAATTCCACTGTATACCTGGAAGAGAATGAGAGTTAATAAGGCAAAAAGTTGTTTAGCATTATTCTGAAAATAGTTTTGACCTTGCAGATGTCCTAAAAGGGTAACAAGGACCCCAGCTGGACCACACTTTGAACTGTTGTGGGGATGGTTTGACTGCTGTAATGGACTTCTTTGTAGGTGTTCAGGAATTCTTAGCCCCTTGTTTTTAAATTTGGCAAAATTGAATTGATTGAGTGATTTTCTTAAATATCTAAATCTTACACTTCTTTGTACTAGGGTTATTCCTAAAAATAAGCTTATACTGTCTTTATATCATGTGAAGCAACAACTTTAATGTAGTAAAAAATAGAGGACTTATGTGAAATTGGTCCATTTTGTCCTGTGTAATTGCTTACTAAAAACTCTAAATGAGTTTTGGGTTAGCATGAAGGATATAATATGTGGTCTAGTACTTTTTTTCTCTTTAGTATTATGCTAGTACAATGATAATCCCTGTTACAGTGAGATTATATTTAGGATAATGCACAAACATGGAAAGTTAATCAAAATTAATCAAAACTTTACTCAAGGGTTCTTCCGCCATAAAGTATTCTCATACATTCCCAGCTCAGTGACATTCCTTGTCAACAATGTCTGGGAAAATTTAAGAATATTTTGTGGAGAAAGAGGGCGTTGAGCTAAGTTTTAAAAGTACAGTTTAGATAGAGAAAAAGATAGTGATGATTACTCTGGATCGAATGGAAAAGTAGGGACTCGGACATGAAAGTGGGAAGGTGCAGGAGGCATTCAAGGATAAGTAAAGTGTGACACTTCTTTTCCTTATCCAGTCAGTCTGAAAGTAAAAGGAATTATACACTGAGATTTCAAAATAAATTAGCCATGTATTTTATAGACATGGGTAAGAAAAATTTGATAACCTCTTTTTGTAGTGAACAGAACTATACAAGAAGTGTTAAGCATTTTCTGTTTATATTCTTATGTTGTATGAGTGGTTTGTAGATAATGTTAGTATGCTTTTACAACTTTATAAGGTTACGCTTTTAAGATTTAGCAGATTAGAATACACCTTCACTTGTTTGGTGTTAGCTCTTAAAGGCATCAGGCAGAGATTATGTGCATATACTTTGGCTATGTATGTATGTTGTAAATGTATTTCTGTTGCAGCATGAAAAGCTTGCTGTGTTAATTGAAAGTAGGTGTTTTCTTTGCTAAAATATGCTCTTTACACAAATTGCTTTATTTTAGTATTAAAATAAAAGTGTACAGAAATTAGGAAATTATAGGGGCTTTTGCTTCTTAGGGAATGAGGCGCATGTGAAAAGCAGAACAGATTTTTATCACTGTAATAAAAATAGACTTTCTAAACTGGCCATTTACCATATCAGCTATTTTTTTTATAACATTTCTATCTGTTTATTTTTCAGCTTTTTTAATCCAACTCAAATGAACTAAAACCAGAAGATTTTTTAAAATGAAGTAATAGAAAGACTGACCTTGTCTCACTCTCCTCCCTTCCTTGCTTCTCTGCTCATCTCGCACCTGTTTGCTCTCACCCTTCCCATGTTCTCTCCATTGCTGCTGCAAGAGTTCTACAGCTTCCAGCATCTGGATCAGCCTTCTTGTTACTTAGATTCCTCAACCATCTCTTCCTTCAGATATCATCCTACTCATGAGTCTCAATCGGCCTTTTATTTTGTTTTGGGCTTGCAACTAGATGCTTTAATTTCATTCCCATACTGTGTTGCTCATGAGACCTTTTTTTTTTTTTTTTAACTTTCTGCTATTTAATACTCAATTTTGTTCTACATTTAGAGTAGTTATATTGAAATAAAACTTAAATTGTTATAAATGCTTTCAGATTTACTTGGATAATACTTTAAAATCCATTCTAAAGTTTAACTTTTCAGGAGCTAGAGAATCATTTTGGAAATTAAATATAAGTTCTTTTATACTAAAGCTAATATATTTATTAGGTTTTTGGTTTTTTTGGCTTTTTTAATGATCTGGGGTTTGAACAAAGGGCCTTGTTCTTGCCAGGCAGGTGTTCTACCACTTGAGCCACATCCAGCCATATTGATTTTGAGGGTAGGTTTTCTTTTCTTGTTCAGTGTTAATCCCAAAGTCTTTTTGTGGTTGAATCCTCTGCTTTTGCCTAGCTTAGTGAGCTCAAGGCCAGTTGATGGACGTATGGACTGAATAATAGGTTAGATTGAAATATTAACATAGATTAATGGACTCTTTACTGAATAAATATCTTTGACACCTAATTTTGATTATGTAGACTTTTGTTTGCCTGAGGTATAATATAAAGGCTTAAGACAGAATAAAAGAGCTTTTATGTTTGGGGTCAGGATCCACATTGGAATGCTGAATTTCTTCTTTTTTTACAGAGAGTACATATTGGCAAGTTGAGAGTTATCAACCTGTGAAACAGTATGCAGATTTGTGTCTTCTGTATCACATCTGCTAAAATTTTAATTTTTAATGTTGGTTGTTTTTGTTTTCTTTTTGCTTAATCTAATAGCTCTGTGTTTTGCATTTCCCAAGTAAATAATGATCAACAATGCTTTCACTGTTTATAAGCTTAAATTCATTTATGATACAAATAGTGCCACTTCTCTTTCCTTCTAATGTCTTTAAACCTGGTTTTCATACTCTTAACCTACATTCTCTTTGGAGATATTATCATCTTTATGATTTATTGATCTTTTCTAGTATTTTTTTTTAGACTAAAAAGATGCTACTTTGAAGTAATAAGAGTAGTTTTCCTTAGCGTGGGGGAAAAAGCATTACTAGTAGTGTGTGATTGGGAATTCAATGGAAAGAGTTTTATCTTTTCTTATGAATGACAGTTAACTAGCTATATTCTTTTAATGGACCAGATATCTACTGCTGGCTTTTTGAGTTTTGCTTAGTGTAGACATTACCATTTGGAGCAGAATCAATTTTAAAATATGAAAATTACATTTGTAAATATACATATATACTTTTCTACATGAACATACAAGCAGAATCTTGCACGAGGATTTTTTTAAGGGACATTCTGCTACAAGAATATACTAAATGATAAACTACACTTGAGGTCAGTTACTCTCACAGAATTTGTTTTCTTCAATAGTTGGTAGAAACCCAGTTTTTCTTTCCTTCTTTTTTTTGCTAGGCAGGTACTTTACCACTTGAGCCACTCACCAACCTGAAACCAAGTTTTTCTTTATTTTTATGCTGCCACATTAACAGCAAACAGGATGTTAAGAAAAAAACTTCAGTAGATTTTTCTAAACATTGACATACAAAAGGTTTACTCTTTATTTTTCTTCTACTACATTTGTAGCAGCCAGGGTTTTTAAAAACCTGAGAAGATTTTGTTTTTGTTTTTAAACTTGGGTGTGAACTCAATGCCTCATGCTTGCTAGGCTTGTGTTCGTACCACTTAAGCCACTCCACCAGCCCTTTTTTTGATGATACAGTCTCACAAACTATTTGCTCTGGGCTGGCTTCAAAGCCACTGGTGCCTGGCTTTTAATGTTTTTATTGCATGTTTACATGTGGAAGGAAAAGTCTAGAAATCTGTTGTTTAGGGTTGAAAACATGAGTTTAGCATACTCTTGTAATTCTAAGTTACTTTGTGATCAACATTAGATTTCTAATTGCCTAAAAAATAGTACACCAAATATGTTCAACTCCTAACATCATCTTCTTTTTTTCCTTCATTAACTTCTCTAAATTGTCAGACTTGTTTGGAAAAATGGCATTACTTTTTCTTAAAACAGGGTAGGAAACCAAAAATAGCCTGCATGTGTTTCATTTTTAATTACTTGTGGCAAGTTGGGAGGGGGGGTTACAGTTTGCTTCCACAATAAAAGGACACTGCATGTTAAAAAAGATTAAAGGATAAAAATTAATACAATAAGATGACAAAATGATTATTACATTAATATTTTTGAAAAAAATTTTTCTGAATCAGTATATTATACATAAAACCTTTTATTTTTGTTTTTCTAGGTAGTTGGCAAAAAAGGAGAAAGCCACTAAGATACAGAAGACACTGGAAGACCTATTGCAATCAGATTTGCAGCTCCTGGATAATTGTTTGATTCTCTCCAGAAACTGTCAATGTTTCATTCATTGCCATTACCAATAAATCATTGCTTTTGTTCAGATGGTATCACTAGTGTTTCTATTGTAATCTTGATACATGCAGTTGTAAATAAAAGTCATTACTTTTGCCAAGCTTAAATTCTGTCATTATGCATAAATATTTTCTCTTACTTTTTGTTTGAATATTTGCCAGCTTCTGATTTTAGAAGAGACTTAAGTATGTGGTAGCATATTGTTTGAAAAGCTAATTTCTGTCTTCAGAGGATCAAACTTTTGTAAGGAATTAAGGAGTACTTGTGTACATGTACATGAAAAACGACTGTGATAAATGGACTAGGGATAGCTAACCATGCTCAAACAATTATCTGGTCTATATAGAACTTACTCATATTATAACTGCCAGAAATAAACAGGTTCAGTAAGATTTAAGTACTCTTACGTAAAGCTATTAGTTAATTGGTCTACAAGTTCTCATACCAAGATTTTAATCTGGTCTAGATAAAACTTAATTTGAGTCAGACATTTTCCTTGCTAATAGAGGAATATTTAATTCAGACAATTAGGAAAAGTACAGTACAGTACATTTAACAATAGAAATTATTAACTTTAATCCAGTATTATCTGAATTACATGCAGAGTATATCTATACAGAGATCATGATTTAAGGTTTTGAAAATGAGTTGGCAAAAAGTTTATGTTTAAAAGATGTTTCACATAAAGCTGGCTAAATAAAATATTTGTACTTTATTGTTTTGATCTTAAAGTTGTAATCTAGAAAGTATTGGCAAATTTAATTTTAAAATTTCTAAATATTTTTTAAATTCAGTATTTTAAAGCGTATGTAAGGCTTTTTAGTTAAGTTGTGATTCAGTCAATACAGTGACTCTTGTGTAGAAATAAAGTAGCTTTACTGTTTGCCCTTTGAGACCAATGTATTATACATGATTTTGAAGAAATTATGTGTAAGTTTTAGTGTCGAAGTGGTTGCTTTCCGAAACCCAAGTGTTATTAGGTAATGCTTAGTTCATTTGTATGTGAACACAGTAACTGGTCTGTGGTGACGTCTATATTGTTTGTCTCTCACAAGTTTGTTGCCTTGGGTCAAGTTGGTGGCAGACTGGCAAAAAATAAAAGTTTATAATACTCCTAATATAGACCATCTCAGATTAATTATGCCTGAAATTAAGATTAAGATCAATATCAAGAGTTTTGGTTTATACTTTTGTACACTTAACCTTTTTGGGTAATTGTTAAAGTGCCTCATCTTAAGTATTGATGACCTCGTCCTATTTATACTTGACAATTTGATGAAAACTCAGTAAAAGTAATTTCATATTTGTAAAGGATTGAGCATCAGATTTATATTATTGTTTATATGACTTTTCTATAATTCGGTTGCAGTATACAGACATTCCATAATTATTTAAATTGTAAATAGTGAAAAATGATGTTTTATAGGTAACTGTAACATGTCTCACTTATGGGAAGTTTTACTATTACAAATAAACATGCATAATTAACATTATTTAAAATACCAAGCTGAAATGCTATTTTCTCCTAAAATAGTACATCTATACTTAAATAAATAATATTTTTATAGAACATGAATTTTCTAGATGAATGAGAAGTGCACTTGATAAAAAAGTAACCCTACTTATTTTAACCAAAGTTATCCTATCCATTACATAGTACTTTCTAGAAAATTGATGTTAAGTTTCTTGTTTGTTTTGTAAAACAGAATCTCATCTGCATGAATTGTTATATTTCACATCAAGAGTCATCTCTGATGAGATTTAATAGATACTCTGTCCACAATAGAAAGAAAAGTAAAGAGTGCAGTACAAAGTCTTTGTCAGCTGAAGGCAGAGGGCAAGTATTTTACAGGCTGCTCTTGTGTCTGTGATGGGCCTCACAATCATTTTGGCCTCTTTGCCATCAAACCTCAAATTGTCCCCAATTCTAGTACTTGACTGTGTGGAAGACCACCACTTAGCAATTAAGCATTGATAAATGAGTTGAAGCCTGTCTGCCATCTTGTCTCAACGTTGATACATGCATTGTGTTTTGCAGTGTTTTATAGGTATGCTGTACATTTGGCTTTAGCATTTCATTTATGAATGCCATTAACACTTCATGTGGGGAGAGGGCTTGAAAAAATTGGAAACGTTAAGGTCTTCCCATGTTCCTCCTTAATGTCTAAATTTGGTTTTTCTTTTTGCAGTATGGGGGTTTGAATTCAGGGTCTCACACTTGGTAAGCAAGTGCTCTTTCTACCTTCAGCCCCCTTTTTACTTCTTAGTTATTTTTAGATAGGGAGGGTCTCAGGCTTTTTGCCCAGGCCACCCTGGGACCACAATCCTCCTACCTCTTGCCTCTTGTGTACTTACATATATCAGTTTGCTAGGTTAATTTTTATATAGGTATTTGTCTTTTGGAATTGGTTATTTCTTTTCTTAGATAATTTTCTAAGAAAAGTAAGAAATCCATTCAATTAACTGCTAAAAGAAACTTCAGAGGAATATTGTATTCATGTAGCTTTTTCACCTCACAATTAGAGATGTCCAGCATTTTATAAAAATTTCCAGACAGACATGTTTTGTAATGTACATATGGCATGTTTGGTAGGTAAACAAACTTTAAAATACTTTTTATTCCCTAGTGATACCCATATTGTTTAAGGAGGAACATTGATGTCATTTAAAGTAAGCTTTAAAGTTTACATTGGTTTATCTTCACATCATTGTATGCCCAGCACCATAGGAGTAAATTGATAGAGTAGAGATTTTATAGGTTAAAAGTCACTTTTAAACTTTAAAGCCTATGTAAAATGATTATTGGAGAATGTTTTACTGAATTAGTTAACTTAAAAGATAGTTGTATTTAGATGTGATACTAAAATTGTATGCAGCTTGGATAATACCAAAGTCTTAGGATATGTAACCTTAAAACTGCTGGATTATATCACCTTCCTCTACTTTTGCTGTGCTTGTCTATGGGAAGAGGAAGTTCATTTGCTTAGGAGTTAACACTGATAAGTCGAACAGGTCAGAACTAGTTGTAAAAATATGATTTGTTGGTTTATACTTGGACATACGCCTGGAATACTTGCTCATTGTGCTACTTAGGAATAAGATCTTTGAAGTTTGATTCTCTGGTCCTTCACTTGTTAGCTGTGTCATCTTGAGCAAGTAACATCCTTTGGAGCTTGAATTTACTCTTGTGTAAAAATAGGAACATCTGTCTACCTCTTAGGCTTGTTATGAAGATTAAATGCACCTTACTTTGTGTCTGGCCAAGGATAAGTAGTTATTTTTCTTCTGTACCCTACTCTCTTGTCTCATTGCCACTGCTTTTAGGCCATCATTTCTTGCTCGGCATACTACAATAGCTTCCTAATTGCCTTCCGGCTTCTGATCTGGCCTCTCTAATGTATCTTCCATGTGGTTTCTGGTTATCTTTCCTTTATAAGGTTTTCAAAATGTGATTCCTCTTTGCCAGATTCTCACTACCACTCATTTCCCCTGCATGCTGCACAATAGCACTACAATTACCAGAATGTACCCTGATGTCTTGTGCCTTCCTCTGGCCTAACTTGTCCATCTGATACTGCTATTTGTCTACAAGGGTCAATTCAAGCACTCATCCACCCTGTAGTTTATTAAACCACTTGCAGTTATTTTGTCTTATTTGCCCTTATTTGGTTTATGAGCAGCAATATAAGGATTTTGTCCCTAGTACCAAACCAGGCTTTTTTTGGTTTTTTATCATTAAATACAATGTTGAATGAATTACCAAGTTCCAAGAGGAGATACTCCAGATGAGTTTGAGAGCTTGTGTTAAGAGTTTGCAGTTCAGCAACATTAGGAAGAGAATTTAGCCAAAATAAAGGAAGAGTACATGGTGTGTTCATAGAATGACTAAGAGAACTTATGGAGATGAATCTGGATGAACAAGGAGAAATTAGACAAAGCTCCTCTTGCCATGTGCAAAAGTTCAGACCTTATCCTTAATTTATGGGAGGATAGTGTGGGGGTTGTAGGGAGAGTAGTTCACAACAGTTTCTCACTTTGACAGGTGGGGAAATGGTTGTTAAGGGAAGCAGCAAGTTCAGAAGGGAAGCTGAACATGGTTTGGGATACATTGTCTTGAGCAATGTTCCTAAGACACATTTTGGGCACTCGGGTAGACTCCAGCAGGTACACAGGCAGGAATATGCCTTTAGAGTCTAGAAGTAAGGAACTATGAGTTATTTAGAAGATGAAAGAAGATGCTTATGAATGAATGGGGGCTTCTAAAGAAAAAAGAATGAAACAAAATGCTAGGGAATATAAAGAAGGAATCAGCAGAAGTGTCTGGAAAGCAGTCAACTGGGATGTAGGAGGAGGAAGGAGGTGAGCAATAGTCAATTAGCCCATTAAACTGGAAACATTTCTAGTGCTTAATTACAAGAATCATTGGTTAGAGTAATAATCTTTTGATTAAAGGAAGTATTAGTGGTTAAAATTATTCTGAAACCCTTCTCACAGGATTTTAGAAGTTTTTGTAGTCTACAGTGACATAGTTGTACATGATAATCCATCTGCAAGATGTGCTGCATGATGGCAGCATTCCATAAAGGAGTATAAAATACTGCTTTGATGGTGTCGTTAAAGACTCCTCTTATAATCAGGTGGTTTTCTCCCGTATTTTTGTAGTCATAAGATTTGTTCTATCTGCCACAGTAGAACATCTTTTCATGACTGCTTTGATAAAAGCTATTTTCAGTGATGATCCTCTCAGTCCAGGATGGGTCATCTAGGTTATTTAGTAAAAATACCGAATTTTATAGAACAGAATTAAATGCCTAATTAAAACTTCCTCAGGGTTTTCGAATAGGAGAGAACTTCTTTACACCTTTACAGTCTCCCTGTGGCTGAGGATAATAGAAACAATGACTCAGTTTCATTTCTCTGACCACATAATTCTCTCAAAGAGGTCGACACATTGGCAGCATTAAAAATGCTGCTGTGTGGGTTTAGGCTTGGCTGCAGGTGGCTTTTATGTTTAAAATGAGTGTCTGACCCAAAAGGGTCAGTGGCAAGGAGCCTGAGTAGAAATGCTTAGGCTGAGTAGAAATGGACAGGCTTGTGCAGAAACGAATAGGTTTCCTTTGAATTTTTTCCCTAGAATTTAAAAATCTTCTTCCCCCACACATGGCTTCACACATGCAAATGCTTTACCAGTGAGCTGCACATCCCAAGCAACAAGTCTTAACCTTTCATTTTATATAATTGCTTTTTTGGTTCTTATCCATCAAAATATGAAATCCATTGAATTTGGGAAAAGCTAAACTCCAGCCCAATGCAGTCACTTTTTGCACTGTGCCCTCAGACAGTTGTTATCAGGCTTCTCTTCAATACATGTCCTTCATTTCAGGTATTAGAGGTTTTTCTGGACATAGAACTTTATCATAAGGAAAGCTGGTGCCGTCTTTGATGAAGTAGGATACATAATTTATAAGACATTCTCTATAGCAGTTCTCACCCAGAAGAATATCTCAACTATACTAGACAAAAACATCATTTACCTTACTCTGATACCAGACCAAAGTTATTTAAACTGTGTGTACAAAGACAGTAGGAATCCAATCCCATTTCATGACAAAATGCTCAAGAAATAAGGAATAGGAAAGTTCTTCAAAGGAATAAAAGGAATACAAATAGGTAAAGAAACTCAAAATATCCCTATTTGCAGACAACATGATCCTATGCCTTAAAG